TCATCACAATACTACCCCATGCATTCTTAACAGATGATTTGGAACAGGGGTGTCAAATTGGTGGCCCACGGGCCAGATGCATCACCTGCAGGCCACGCCCACCCCAGCTCCGTGAATGGGAAAAATGTCACGAGACATCATGTGATGGCAACGTGACATGGCGAGTTTGACACCCATGATTTCGAGGGTAAGGGACATTTCAGAGCACATCTGCACCGTACACAGTAAGAAGACAAGAAGTAATTCCTTCAAGGAAGCAGTCCTCCGATCACTTAATGCCACATTCTACTCTAATAACTGCCCTTTAATTTCAAGCATAGCATATCCATTGGGAAATCCAACTATGTACAAGAAGGATTTGTATCATGACCTTATGAATCAGTTTTGCTGTTCAGACTCATTAGCTATAGTTGTCACAAGAAGCAACACAGGAGAACTTTCTTCTAATGCTATTCTTGATTACTGCAAATGAAAGGATGGTGATTTTGCTCCCCTATTTTCTCCAAACGATCGATTGATAACTATGCAAAGTATTCATGCTTTGGGTTACACTGCAGGTTAAGGGTAAATGTGCAAAAAGTGAGAAAGAATGAAATAAGCTGTTAAGTGAATGATTTGAAAATTAGTGTTCTATTATAGCATTGCCTGCTGTTTTCAAAACTATTTGTGCCATTCAAGGAACAGAGTGGCATACCCATCTCATCATTTTTAATGGCCAGATTTTTAATTACGGCTGTTCTTTCAACAGACAGTAAAATAATGGCTAACTTATTGAGCATTCAACTCCCAGATTATCCTGTATTGCTGGGAGAACATTACTGATGACTGACTTATGCCCACAAATGTACCCCTTTTGCTGAGTTTTTCTCAATTTAGTTTTCCAGTAAAGTTCACCATTCTAATCTTCTAACGTATTTCATAACTATTACTGGATGATAAAAGATTACCATTACCATCAGTAAGTGTGCAAGATTCATGTAAATACTTGATGATTAGTGCTCTCTTTGTGAAGTTACAAGGGAGATGTCTACATATGGGTATTAGTGGAGTTCAGTGCCGTTTCAATGAATTATTTAGAAGATGCTTAATTATTCCTAATTGTTTACCATGAGGTTTTACTGTGTTGCTATCCCCTGAGTGCAATACTGAATGCTAGATTAAATAACCAATATAGTTATGATTTAAAGCCATGCTAAATTTGTTATTGCAGCCATTGAATAACTAACGTACCTCAAATAGAACATAACCAAATCCTTTGCCGATGCCTGTGCTTCGATCTCTCACAATTCGTACACCTGTCACATTTCCACATTCCAAAAAGTGATTTCTTACAGTCTCATCATCAATTTCTGTAAATACAACATCTTTTATAAATGTGCAGTTATTAAAACACAACCATTTTAGCGACATGACCAAATTTCTATTACTATTTAAAGTTTCTATTCTTTTTTAAACAAATACAAATATGGTTGCCACCTCTATCTGCTTAAAAGAAAGATTAAGACTATTGGGACAGTATTGGCAAGGAAATAGCTCTATATCCCTTACTTACGTTTTAGTTATCCTATTATGGCATACTTCAGGAACTAGGTTACAAATTTACCAATTCAAAGCACCTTTTTTTGCTTTATCTGCATTTGTAGATACATTATGTTTATACATAGTTATAAATCAAGAACTTACAAAAACAAAATGCAGCTCAGGACTAAAAGAAACAAGTAAGCTGAAACATTCTGGTTTGAAGAGGTGTTACTTAATGTTAATTTTAAACCAGTCTTGTACATTTAAGTTTGTTAACATCTTTACAGATATACTCACTTCATTAATCTGCAAAAGTATAATTTTCTACCAAAGTAATGGACATTTGTTTGAATTGATTAACATTAAATTATAATACATACCATAAGGCAGATTTCCTACAAATATTGATCTTTTGTTATCATGCTGTAAAACAAACAACAAAAAGAACTGACTCAGGGACTTAAAGGAAAAGCTAGAAAAAGTTATATAGTATTTGAATTATGTCTATGGAGATTCTAAATCATGTCATGGTTGTCCCAAAGGGACTTTTCAAAAAACAAGTGAACTTTGTTTTTCCTTGAAGATGTTTCGTTTCTCATCCAAGAAGCTTCTTCAGTTCTGAAGTTGCCTTTTGAAAAAGCACCTTTGGGATAGTGTTTGAATTACTTACACAAGTAGATTTTGAAGCAAGGTCAACTCTGATATGGAATCCACTGGTAATTTCTCTTCCATTACTATGAAACCGTAAAAAATGAAATAACAATATAAATTACCACTAAATTTGATTTGAATATTGTTTATTTTATAAATAGTATTTAATAATTGACTGATATCTTAATGTGGTAATTAAAAAAATACATACCATTTTAAGGCATTATTTGCTGCAGATTCCTCCTTGAAAACAACATAAGCATTAACGTATTTCATATTAGGGTGTAGTTTTTGCCTAAAAGAAAAAAGAAACCATAATATTTGTTATATTCTATACTGCCAGACTCAAAAATAACTCGATATTTTACATCATAAAAATGTATCAAAATAAACAATCCAATAAAAATACAGCAAAAATCTCCATATTCCAACAATGCCCTCTAGAACAATTTAGTCCAAAATAATTTCCAGAAGGCCAGCATTATAAATACAGCCTAACCTCCAGAGGATGGATATTCTATATTATATAATTGAAGGTTATATTATCACATAAAGATGAACTTTTATGCATTGGGACACTAGTCGTAACAGAACTTGGGATTTGTTGCACAACATTTAAATTTAAATCCTGTTTAAATTTAGAATTAAGAGGTAAGATATGTTTTCTAAGGAATACATTATAATTTCCTGAATCCAGATTACAGCTCAACCATGGAGAGTCTACAGCTGTCCAGATTTTACTGAACTACTACCAGATTTCCCCAGCAAATTGAAAAGCCACAGGTTGCTTTCTATAATCCACAGAGTCAACTTCTTTTACTCTTTTAGTTACAACTTCTCATAATATAAAGAAATATAAATAACTCAATTGTGCTATGGTCAAGGAACAGGGCCATTTCTTAATTCAATAGTTAGCATTTGAAGGGGCTGTTATTGGCACCAGGTCTGTTCCAGTTTTACAAGTAAAACTTTACTATAATTTGCAAAAGTAAGGTTACATGTTGCAAAACTAATTTCAATTTTTACTTTGGCCCAGAATAGCTGAAAGATGCCCTGATATAAGCAAAAGACACTCGTATGATACATCAGTATTTTCTGTTATAATCATTTTATTTTAAATTAGGGCTAACAGATCCAGGCTGCAAAAAAAACATTACCAGCAACATAATTAAATGGCAGCAAAGAACTAGACATTTAAAAAAAAAATTTGCAGCTATCTAGTGGTCATCCAGATTTCTAAAGCCGAGATGTAATAGCCCCAATATAAGAATCAACAAAGTATAACCTGTAAATCTATTCTCATGCACAAATTACAATACATACTTTATAGCAGCCATTTTTTTGGATATTGTATCTTCTGCTGGAATCTTAAAAGAGAAAAAATAATATATTATTAAGTAGGTGTTATTTAGCAATATTATGAATGTTTACAATTTCCTTTAAACAGACAGGAGAGATAAACTGGATAAGCATTTCTAGCCACACTAGCATTCACCATATAGCACTAAAATCTCTCTCTCTCTCTCNGCAGGGGGTTGGACTAGAAGACCTCCAAGGTCCCTTCCAACTCTGCTATTGTATTATATTGTGTATAATCAGGGAGTTTTCAGAATTGTGATCCTTGCGTCAATTGCAATTGTTTCGTCTTACTATCATGTTTTGCAATTTGCTTTGGAGAAACATTTACTTTGATGGTATAAAACTCATCTTAGGTAAACAGAAGAGTACTTTCACAATCTGGGAAAAAGTTTTTGCAAGCAAACTTGTTTATTAAGATAAAACATAACAAAGATCATTGAGTAATTGTTGAAGAGCTGAAATAATGCAAAATTACAAAATAATGCTGCATTTTGGATAACTCTACATTTTTGTTTAGCATTTCTCCTTATCCTGGAAGTTATTAGTGAAACAGTACCAGGAGGGTTTTGAGAATGCATTATGTAACATGACTCTACAAGGCTTTGTAGATGCTGCAACGTAACTGTCAAATATTTCAAAGTGAAGGTAACTATAATGTATATATAATACTTTATCACAAGCAAGTATCTTCCCCCTCAAATTTCTTTTTCCAAGACACACAACCTTCTCTGGCACCTGGATGGCCGAATATGCTGAGGGGGAGTGACCCTTATGAAGTTTAACTATGTTTCATTTGTATGAAGAATAGAGACATAAAATTAGGTTGTTTCCCAGTGACCAGCTTTTGACTTTAATTAGCATTCAGTCATCATGATTAGGAGCAATGGTAAGCTATGCCATCACAATGTTTTTTAATTTTTAGTGAATGGTTAAATATTTTAGAGGATTTTCTATAAATACAATTTTCTATGAATACAGAAAGTATTTGCAAAGCAAATCTCCAAACATAAAGCAGGCTTCTGAAATTTAATTGGAATATATTACATATTTTACAGTAATAAACATTTATGTTCATTATTTAATTTTAAGAGCCGAGGTGGCGCAGTGGTTAGGGTGCAGTACTGCAGGCCACTTCAGCTGATTGTTATCTGCAGTTCAGCGGTTCTAATCTCACCGGCTCNGATAAGCATTTCTAGCCACACTAGCATTCACCATATAGCACTAAAATCTCTCTCTCTCTCTCTCACTCACTCTCTCACTCTCTCACTCTCTCACTCTCTCTCTCTCTCACTCACTCACTCTCACTCTCTCACTCACTCTCACAATGAAGCAGCCCAGAACCAAGCCTTCAACTGAGAAGAAGGTATGCAAACATTTCCTCTCTCCCTTTGCCTGGGGGAAAAATAACATTTTCTTATATTACGCTGCTGACTTCCTGCCAAGTTCAAGGTTAAATGTGCTGTTGGAGATCTATCCTGAACTCACTAAGAAACGATGGAAGGAAATTATTTGTTGTTATTAGTTGTGAAGTTGTGTCTGACCCATCGTGACCCCATGGACAACGTTCCTCCAGGCATTCCTGCCCTCTACCATCCTCTGGAGTCCATTTAACCTACTGCTTCGGTGACTCCATCCAGTCATTTCATTCTCTGTCATTCCCTTCTTCTTTTGCCCTCAATCTTTCCCAGCATTAGGCTCTTCTCCAGTGAGTCCTTCCTTCTCATTTGGTGGCCAAAGTATTTGAATTTCATCTTCAGGATCTGGCCTTCTAAAGAGCAGTCAGGGTTGATCTCCTCTAGGACTGACTGGTTTCATCGCCTTGCAGTCCAAGGGACTCGCAGGAATCTTCTCCAGCACCTTAGTTTAAAGGACTCAATTCTTTGGCGCTCAATCTTTCTTATGGTCCAACTTTCAAAGCCATACATTGCAACTAGGAAAACCATAGCCTGGACTATTCACACTTTTGTTGGCAGGGTGATGTCTCTGCTTTTTAATATATTGTCTAGATTTGCCATAGCTTTCCTCCCCAGGAGCAAGCATCTTTTAATTTCTTGGATACAGTCCCCATCTGCGGTGATCTTGGAGCCCAGAAAAGTAAAATCTGTCACTACCTCCATCTCTTCCCCATCTATTTGCCTGGAATTGAGAGGACTGGATGCCATGATCTTAGTTTTCTTAATGTTGAGTTTCAAGCCAACTTTTGCAACCAATAATTTTTAGTTAAATTATGCACATCTCCTAGACACAGTATTCTCCTGTTCCTCCTTATCTGCTTCTCCATTTGTGTCATAAATACAGTATGGTCCTACTAGCGGCAGTCATTTAATGTAAGTATTACACAGATAGAAAATCAACAAGCAGAAGACCTATCGGTAATCTTTTCATAGGGGTCAGTAAAAAGAGAATTAAAATAATAGAGTTCAAACAAGGAATTTGTATCTTCCAAACGTGTTAATTTGGAGCCAATTCATGAAAGATTAAGTTGAGAAAAATCCTAATGAAAAGAACTGAGTTCTTTAAAACAATGTAGTATTTATGTTATCCAGTAATCTGTCATTCCACATGTAACTCTATACATACTTTTCATACCATCATAAAACTTGAGGCGACCTTTTAGAAACAATTGAATTGTCTTACGTACTCTTATATATAATGCATTTAGCAGTTGGCCAAATTACATTAATTTGCTAGTTTTACATCATAATCAATTATGAAACTTGAGATGATTTCTTAGAAACAGAATTGAATTATCTTACATACTAAAATGTATTCAGCAGCTGACTAAATTAATTTAATATGCTGGTTTTACACTCAACCATAATCAATAGGCTCACTGGCTTATAACAAATACTATGAAATGATAATTTAAACATCGATGTAACATATCAGTAGAAATGCCTATCAATAAAGAAGAATGAAATGAAAGACACGGCACCATAAACTAACAAATTCATGACAATTTTCTCCACATTAATTTGTATTTTAATAGCTTCCAAAGGCCAGTAGAGAGAGGGCAAGCTTGATTTTCAATGAGACACTATTCCTCAGCAGTGTGTCCCTATAGAGAAAGAAGCTCCACCAAGCCTACTGAAATATTCAACATTATTTGGTTTCCAACAAAAACCATTTAAATGACTGGCTTTGCTTAACAACCCATGGCATTCACTTAACAACCACAGCATATGCTTAACAACTGTGATGTTTGCCTAATGACTGCTGCAAAAAAAAAAAAAAAAGACTGGAAAATTACTTCGTCACATGGGTGCCTCAATTGACTAATGACTATAATGAGTTATGATTGGATTTCTGGTCCCAGTTACAGTCATAAGTCAAGGACTATTCATATATGGTACACTTTTGGTGCAAGCCAGAAACTGAAATTATTTTCTAGTAAAGAATCACAAAATGAAGTAAATAACATACCAAAGAACGAAAACGAATTGATTCAATTTGTCCATAGTCTTTGAAAAATGACTTCAGCATCTAAATTAAAAGAGGTATAATTTTATTAGGTCAATACGTATACCAGTGTTTGAGAAACAGCAGCAAACACTTAATCCATATACAATGAATGGAACACCAGGAACCCTAAATAATATCTATTTGACCAATGATTAAAGGATACAATAAAAATAAGTAGTTGTTTTTTTTTTTGCAGAATTATTAAAGATTAAATCAAACTGAAAACATTATGCAAAAGTCACTGGGGGTTTCTTTTTAAGTTGAAAGAGTAACACAAAAAATTCTACATAAAATACTTTACCCTCTTTCCCTATGCATACTGTGTTACTCCAAAAATAAAACAGGGTCTTATTTTCTTTTGACTCCTGAAATAAGCACTTGGCCTTATTTTCGGGGAGGTCTTATTATTTTTGAGGTGCAGGAGGTGGCGAGTATGGTTACCTCATGGCTGCTGCTGTGTTGCATCTCACTGGCCCTGCCACTTCTTTTGCAGCAGCCATTAGCGTGACACAAGAGCCATGGTTGCTAGGGTTGCGGGAGCGGCCATTAGGTAAGGGTGTGTGGATTGCATAGGGCAAGTTCCCCCCTCCCTTTCCGGCCCCTCTGGCCTCACCTCACATTGTTTGTGCGGCAAGCAGCCAGAAGAAATGGTGGAGTTGCACATACGGTTAAATATTTTCATGGAGGGCTTATTTTGGGGAGGGTTTATTTTAGCACATGCGCTAAAAACCTTGATTGGGCTTATTATCCAGGGAGGTCTTATTTTTGGGGAAATAGGGTAATTACTCACAAGAAAATGTGCTTTACAAAATCAGTAGGCCAGCACAATATTATGTTTATAGATTAATGAGGGATCTCCACCCCCCACCCCCCCAGTCTGTGGACCGGTAGCAGGCCATGGCATGCTAGAAAGTGGGCCACACAAACATGCGAAGCACACAAAACCACACCCCCTCTGGTCCACAGAAAAATATATCTCCACAGAACTGGTCCCCAGTGCCCAAAAGGTGGGGGCCGCAGGATTAACAGATTCAGACTGCAAAAAATTGTCCACGTTGTGGATAGCAAACGTGGAACTCTTTGCTTTCATCAGTGAAGGTCAATACATGCAAGCCACATCTATATTATTGGATCAGAAGCAGGGATCCATATGCAACTCTCCAAACATTCATAAAAACACATGATCCAGAGCAACATGTTGCAGACATAAAGTGGAGGGTGAGATAGAATCATACTGAACAATTTCGCCCTGTGGCAGAAGACAATCAGAAATGTAATTAATGAATTAAGTATTCAGAGCAAAGGTAGTCCTTGATTTAAAATCATTTGTTTAGCTACTGTTCAAAGTCATGACGACACTGAAAAAAGTGACTTATGACCTGCCCTCTCACTCATGATCATCATGCATCCCCATGGTCACGTGACCGAAATCCAAGGGCTTAGCAACCGGCATGAATTTATGATGATTACAGCATTCCAGGGTCACCTGATCACCATTTGCAATTTTCCCTGTCAATGAGTGAAGCCAGATTTGCTTAACGATAGTGTTATTCCCTTAATAATTGCAGTGATTTGCTTAACTATGGTGTGAAATTGGGCACAACTCACTTAATAATCACCTTTCTTAGCAACTGAAAGTTTGGCCCCAATTGTGGAAATTGTGGCCCCCGTTGCATAAATCAAGGATTAACTGTATTAGCTGAATGATAGCGATGGTGTAAATTAAATCAGTTATACTGTATTTCTTTTTCTTTAACTTATGTTTTAAATTTTTGGATACATATTACTTCTTTTCTTTATTTTGCTTAAAGTTGCTTATACTAGAACAGTGATAGGCACTTATTTATTAATGTAACTTTTAAAAAAATGCTTAATATAATCTGTTATTTTAAAGAAAGTACAAATAGCCTGCTATCAAAGTTACTTACTTGTGCTGTATAAGAAACAGGTAAATTCCCCACAAAAAGAGTCCTCTTGTTCTTTAAATTTTCTTTAGCCTGGTTAACTTTAATTTTCTTTTTTTTAATTTGAGCAGCTTCCTCTGAGATTGGAAAAAGTTTGGTAGCCTTATTTTTCATTTGTATTACTTCTTCTTCTGCTTCACTTACATGAGCCAAAGCATATTCCCTTGACAAGAAATTTATAACCAAATTATTAAACTGAGCATATGTAAATAATTGTGTGTGTTCACGTAGTCACAAAAAAAATCAGCATTTTAAAACTAGCTTTTCACTGACAAATATCAGTTCTAGAGAGATTGTAATTACCTACATTAAAAGCATGCAATTATGATCATTTAACTAACATGCAATCAACAAGCTTTGAGGAAAAAGGAAACACAGAAAAACCATTGCTACAATTTTTAGCACGACACATACTTACTAGTAAATAAATCCTTCTTATCAGATTTATTTCTAAATAACAATACAAAGTACTGACTTAAGAGACAGTTCATGTTACAAACAGAATGAAGCGTTATCACTGTAATGGTATGTGGGAATGACCTTGGGAAACTGGGTAAAGAGATACTGCCTAAGGCAGCGGTCCACAAACTTTGCAGCTTGGCAGCCCAGATGGGGCAGGGAAGAGGGGAATCAGGCTGCGCAAGCAGCAGGCTGGTACACACACTCATGCACACACAGCTTGAATGCAAGTGTAGCTGCATTTGCTGGTCCTCTGTTCCGAGTCAAGCTATGTGCATGTTGCCAGCTTGCTGCTCACACAAATCAAGCTGCACAACAGCATGTGTGTACCAGCTCACGGCCCAGTTATGAATAGGCCACAGCCCAGTAGTTGGGGACCCCTGGCATAGGGAATGGTCATATAAGAGGAAACATAGCCCGTAGCTGCATAGTGGGCAAAGCCAGAGGTTCATGAGAGATCCTCCCTAGTTATCAATGTGGAAAGGAATTGGTGAGACAATTCTATTTTCAGATTTGTAAGATTCTGTTAATGTAGCTTTACGATGAAGTCAAATTAGTCTGATTATCTGGTAAGGTTGACAATCATTTTCAACTAGAATACAGCACACATACAGTGCTTGACTTACAACAGTTGATTTAGTGACCATTCAAAGTTACAACAGCACTGAAAATTGACTTATGACTGTTTTTCACACTTACGACCATTTCAGCATCCCCATGGTCACATAATCAAAATTCAGACTCTTGGCAACTGACTCATATTTATGACAGTTGCAGTGACCTGGGGTCATGTGATCCCTTTTGCAAGCAAAGTCAACGGGGAAGCCACTTAGCAACTGTTACTAACTTAACAACTGCAGTGACAAGATATGTCATAAATGGGGCAAAACTCACTTAACAAATGTCTCACTTAGCCACAGATTTGGGGCTCAATTGTTGAGGACTACCTGTATTTATTTTAATAACAATAGGGTCTTTTAAGAGGCATGCTACATTTTAACCTGCTAATCTGACCTTTCCTTAGGACCCAGACAGTAACTAACCAATATGGGAAATTAAGCATAATACATAACAGAGTATAGTTTTTCATTTACCTGTTTGCTACTGTTTCATTTGCTAGAGAGGTATCTTTCTTAGATTTCTTCATTTTTTTAAAAGGCTGTTTTTTAGTTGAAGAATCTTGAATTTCTGTGACACTTTCCTCTTCTTTATGGTTACGTTTTTTACTTTCCTTTTAAAATCAATACACAGTCAAACATGATAAAGTGTTACACAATCTCAGGAAGGTTAGAATATTCACATATAGTTTTGCTAAATTTGGCAATTTGCTAGTTACTAATGCCTCATAGCATTCCAGACTGTATACCTTAAACTGGACAATTGCTCATGTTAATTGTTGCACCTACGAATAGTAGCCAAGATCTTCTATCAGATGGAAGTAAAATGGAATCTGGGCCCATCTTTTATTAAAGTCCAATGATCACAATGGTCCAAAAGCCCCCAATCGGACAGAGAGAAACATTTATAGAAAACAATTCAAATCCTAAAAATGAGGACTGTATCTGTGGTCCTTCTGTTCTAGGTCTCTGTACTAAAAAGTACATGCATTTTTGTTTTTGTTTTTTAGAAAAAGGAGGATATGATATTAAGTTGCCTAGTTAAATTTTCCTTTATGTGACAGAGCCTAAGAAAATGTTGGAGCACCTAGAACCAACCACTTTTAATTAATTTCAATTTAGTAAGAAGCCTAATAGGCAGAAAGCCAACTTTAGGCTAGTTTCTTGTCTCTTTACTAAAGCTATTAAATGAAGAAGCGAAAGAGCCCAATCATTTAAACAGATATTTCAATTTCCAATTCATTTCTATTTCTAGAATTTGGGATAAGGATTTAATTACATGACTTTTGAAAGCATTATTACAATTTCAATCATAAATCACAATCTTGGAATTAAACTGTGAAGAAGACTTCCAAGAACATAACTTTCAATTTAGGTTAAAAAGCCTTTTTAAATTGAATTTTAAAGCAGCAATTATAAAAAAAAATTAAACAAGGTTTAGAGTGAATGAAAAAGACCTAATGGTATTGTAAAGATCCAGTTCAAATTCCTATATTTTATATTCTAACATGTTTTCCAAGTGCAATTATGAAATTCTTGCCCTTTATTGTAGCAGAGATTGGAACTGGATTGAGTATTTTTTAAAATTTGTTTATACACAATTTGGAATACGGAGTGAATACTGTAGCAAACAAATGTGCTGATAAAAATTATTTATGAAAGGTAAAATGAGAAAGAAAAAAATAATGCGAATAGCACCAATTTTTCCAAAGTGGGCAAGTAGGAATAAAAATGGGAGCCACAAAATAGGCAAAGTGATGCATATTAGCACACAAAATCCAAACATCATTATACTTCCATGGCATCTCAACTGACAGTGACAGATCATAAAAGGGATTTGGGGATCAGGGTGTACAAGTCAAAAAAGTTAACCCAATGTGCAGCTATACTAAAGCAATCTCCTTCAAAACAAGCTTGAATCCCGAGGCCTCATGAACATATTTGTATAATTTTCTTAGCAACAATATGGGAGAAACTTGCTATTATTTTCTTCTGGGAAGTTTTTTCAACTTCCCAATGTAGCTTAGAGCCTATAGCCATGTGCTCTTCCACTCACAATAAGATCCAATTCTGCTTAATTTTTCAAGCTGAGTCACAGTCATATAGGGCAGCTATAGTGATCTAAAAAGAGCAAATGTCATTCTTGGCATCATTAAAGGAAATGAATGTACAACAGGCAATATAATAATGACTTTATATGACCTCTCAAAGATGAGACCACATTTGGAAGGGCTATGATTAGGTTTTACACCTAAAAAGAGTGTTATAAAGTTAGAAGACAGATAAAGAATACATGGTGAAAGTATATAAATGACATAAAACACCTGATGGGGGCATTTATATCTCTAAGTGGTTGTTGGACTAAGAGAGAAGGTCCCACCTCCATACTGTACCAATTAAGCACCACGTGTATCAGAAGTGGGTTCCTGCCAGTTCTAATCTCTTCTATAGGAGAGGTTCCACAAATCTACAGTGCCGTTTAGAACTGGTTTCAGCTCCCTCCCCCTGCCCATCTGCACATCATCAAGATGAAGAGCGAGAGGAGGAATTCTGGGAGTTGAAGTCCACAAGTCTTAAAGCTGTCAAGTTTGAACACCCCTGGGGTTTTTTTTCTAAAGGGTTAGGGGTGCAAGGGTCTTGTAACTTGACAGCTTTAAGACTTGCGTGCTTCAAATGCCAGAGTTTCTGAGCCAACATTTTGGTTGCTAAGCAAGAGTGTTGTTAAGTGAGTTTCACCACATTTTACAAGTTGGCCACGCCCACCCAGTCACATGGCTGGCAAGCCACCTCCCACCCGGTTACATGGCTGGCAAGCCACTCCCACCCAGTCACATGGCTGGCAAACCATTCCCATAAAGCGGCCACACCTAGAGGTTCTAAAAAAAATTGAAGCCCACCACTGATGTGTACTTAATCCAATGATGTCTAATGGTTTGATTGTTTTTTAATATTTTTATATCTTTACTTTAATTCTACTGTAAGCTGCCCAGAATTGCTTGGATGGTGAAACAGGCAGCATATAAAATTAATAAATAATATAAAATCATTCATGGCATGGAAAATATGCACAATAAGTTCTTTACACAATACACAAATTGTACAATTTACTATTAACAGGTGTCACTAAGCTAATTTTTAAAAGGAAAATTTAATGGCAGTTTGGGCTACTAGCACTACTAGCAACCTTTCAAATTAGAACAGGAGTGTCAAACTGGTGGATGAGTCATGCATAGGACACCCCGCCCGACGAAGGGAAAAAATGGCACGATACGTCATGTGATGGCAATAGGTTGGACACCCGCGATTTAGAGGAAGAAGTCTTTGAATACCAGCTTTTATAGTGGTCAGTGATACAAAAACAGAGGACTACTCCCTTCCTGTCTATGATGGTGATCTTAATGACTGTATCTATATGGCTATGATATGATAAACTATGGATTACACAAAACTAGGGCCCTAATGCAACAGGGCCTTATGAAGACTGGAAATCAACTGTGATTATAGATATGCTCTTCTGTTCAGATATGTCTGAAACTGAAACAGCATTTTCATGAGGCTTTTGTCACACCGATTTTAGAACATAAATTAGTCAACTTACTTTTGCCACAGCAACATACATTGGCTGTTTTTCAACACCAGGAGCACTGAAGAGTTGTAGGAGGACATCTGAATCACATGCTGCAGATTTGTTTTGAAAGAGGCTGCTAGCCACTTGCCCCACAATATAATCTTCACTTGATTCAGCAACAGCATTCATGCCACATATTTTCCTATTTAAGAAAGATCAAGTCAGTCAGGATTCACTACAGGAAACAACTGCATCCAAAAACATTAACTGTTGATAATTTTCTCCAAGGTTTTTGAAAGGTATAAAAAGAGGGGTGAAATGTTATCAACTGTGAAATCATGTATGAGAAACTTGAATGAAATTTGCCAGTTTATAGGGCATTGGTACTTAAGAATGCAGTGTTTATTACTGTAAACTGTAATTGTCCGTGTTTTATTACTAGCCTGTCATCCCTGTTTCTCTGTGTGTGTGTCTTTGAGTCAATGCTGACTACTGGCAACTGTCTGTACTAGTAGTCCAGTACTCCCAACGCATAGGGGGGCAATTAGAACCATTAAACCAAGTTAATGGCCTTTTAGGCTTCCTCCTCGTGAATAGAGTTCACTTTTTGAGTAAAGCAAGAATTATATGTCATGGGGGGGGGGGAGAAATCAGGATTTTAGAGATGTTTAATTTAATTTAATTTATAGGCTGCCCAATCCCGGGGGACTCCGGGCGGCTTACACAGAACAAAAGAAAACAAACAAAATAAAAATAAAAATTAAAAATTCTCCAACACGCATATGTTCTGATTGGGGCTGGACCCTACATAATGTCAACAGCCCCAGGCCTGCCAGAACAGCCAGGTCTTAACAGCTTTTCTGAAGGCCATGAGGGTGGGTAAGGTCCGGACCTCTGGGGGTAGCTGATTCCACAGGGTCGGAGCAGCCANTCATGATTTTAGAGATGCTTGGATGGGGCATGGCCAGAAAAAGGTCGGGAACCATTGTACTAGTCCTTGCAGTTTTCTTGGCAATATTTCAGAAGTGGTTTGCCATTGCCTCCTTGCTCTTCCCAAGAATGTCTGGACCAAGATCACTCAAGGAGTTTTGTGTCAAATGCAGAACTAGAATTCCCGAATTCTAACTTGGTGTCTTCAACCACTTCATCAAACTGGCCTTGAATCGTTTAATTGCCACAAATCAGATTTCAAGCTACAGGTGCTTTTTCAGCAGATCAGCAGAATGGGGAAAACGGGGAAGCGGGCTTTGAGAGCGAAACACGTGGTACCCCCAGGCACAGCTGGCGCTCCAGCAACTCTCCCTTCTTGGAGGAGCCACCACAAACATGATCCTAGGCAAAACGATCTGGCTCCGGGACCAAAGAAACAAAGGAGTCGCCAGAAGCCCCCCAGACCCCTTTAGGAGAAGACGGGCAAACAACGAACATCCCCACAACCGCAATCCTCACCCTGCGGCTGGAGAAACTTTAACCTTCCGGGCGCGCTTCATCTTCGCTGGAAAGCTGCTGCTGCAGCCACTTCCGCCTTCAAGCATAGATCTAAACTAGCAAAGTAGAGGAGACTTCAGAGCCTTTCAAACTTCGCGGAGGATACAAGAACACGGGTACATTCGCTTTCGTGCGGATTTTTTCCTAGGCTATATTTGTGCGCGCTGGCTCTTATGGCATCGTTGCCGACAGACTGGAAAAGACGTCTCGGTAGGGTTTTTTACGCATTCCGGTTGAAACTCAGAGAAATTGTTAAGACCTCCTTACAAAAACTGGTGTGGCTCCCATCCTTACATTGTTCAGAGGAAGTGTTTGAAGATCTGGTTATTTTGTCACGCAGGGTGTGATCCCGGAGTCCTCCCCCCTTTTTTTTATACAGTATCTGGTTTTGCTTTGACTTGCTTTTCCAGCCTTGTTTTTTTCTTTTTCTTTAATCAGTTGTGTTTTTACTTGTTAGCTGCTCAGAATGGTTTTGGAGTCAAGCAGTCTCTAAATAAAATTTTAAATGTTTAAGCAAATCAATAATGAGCTGAAGGGTTGAATCGTGTTAAATCATCTTTATTTAACTATGGTTTGTTGAATAAGCTGTAGTAGGCTGGCAGCTATAAGCACTGATGCACTGCAGGAGTGGATGTTCCTAAGCATGGGTATGCTATACAAAGTAGTTGTAATTGAAGTTCTGTAACTAATATAGGAGGGTCAGATTGGTGTAAACATCAGGTTATAATTCAGGAGGCATGAGTTCTAGTCCTGCCCTGGGCACAAAGCCAACTGGGAGCTCTTGGGCCACTGACTTCATCTCAGCCCTAGGAAGAGGCAATGGCAACTATTTCTGAAAAACATTGCCAAGAAAACGGCAAGGATTTGCCCAGACAGTCTCTGAAAACTGGATATGACAGAAGAAAAAACACAAATATATTACTTATTTACAAGGCTCCTGGACCATCAAGCCTAGGTGTACTTAACAGGTGGATTGACCTGCCTAGTGTGCTGAGTTTAATGGTGTTCAGAATGACTCTGTTTTATAGTAAGGAGATTGAACTGAACTCCAACCCAGCCTATCTCTAGAATAGATCATAACATTAGGAGTGAATTACTTTATGGTAGTGTTTTTCAATCTTGGTAAATTTAGATGCATGGATCTTATCTCCCAGATTTCCCCAGCCATCCTATTGGTAGGGAAAATCTTAAAGCTTAAATTTACATATGGGAAACCTTGTGTCAGATTGGGAAACTTTGTGTCAAGCGTTTGTCTTTAAATGACTACCTCTTTCTAATTATAAAATAAACCCATACAATCGAATCAGCATATTTTAAAAAAATACTTTTAAAAATGTAAATTAGAGTGAAATATTATATTTTGCTCCTGGATAAATGCAAGGTCTGCGATCACTGTCTATTAAGACTTGATTTTTCCATACTATTTCAGTGAATTGTTTTCACTTCCTCTTGTAGACAGAAATTAGAGATTTCTGTCCCGGAAGTCTGAGCTCGAAAACGAGGTAAGAGCACTCTAACGTTTATGTCTTCTACCTAGTATGCAAGCGTTTAATTACGGTAGTATTTCGACCACAAGACTGAAGTCGCCGGCGTTGTACGTCATTTCGAGCTAATAGACTCGATCGAAAAAGAACTTGCGCGCTCCCTGCTGGGTGTCCTATTCGGAAATGCTAAATGGCAGCAAAGGGACTCTTAAGAACAAAAAGCAGGAAACGAGAGAGAGCTACGGTACATTTACTTAGTGTTTTAAATATGTCATTAAAACCTTGACCCACTATTCTCCCCCCACTCCCAAATGCTTAAGTGGTCTTTCCGCGGTTATACCAATTGTGAATCCCTTGTTTCTCATATAATGATCTATTCCATTTTTAACACTGATTAAGTGCCATCAAATCATTGTCGGTTATTTTTTTCATATATAGTTCAAAAATACATCTGTATCTTTCAAACTTAGGGAACTTTATAACAAGTATATTAACAAACATATTAAACCAAAAGGGAAATATAGCAGGGTATATCCATATTGTATGTTCTCATTATCAATTTTACATTTGCAGAATAAGGTTGACCAATCAAGTCTTTTTAAATATTTTCTCAGGGACCAATAAACACACAAAAATGATAGTTTGAATTAATCTCATACTTAAATCATGCTTTATATTCTTTTAACCCAACCTCTGATTTTTTTATTGACCAGTTTTTTGTAAATATTACTCTTTACTCCAGTTTTTGTAAATATTAATATCTACTTGAATGATTTCTAAGCTTTTATAAATATTGCAGATTTAAAAGTATCCATTCCCCATAACAATCCTGAAAGTTTTAGATGACTCGCCTTGCTTACATTGCAAATTTAAATGATATTTGATTAAATATATTGCTATATTTCAGGCAATCAAAATAACTCTTGCACAAAGCAAATAAGTTTAAATCTTGATTGGTTATAAGCTGATTCAAGTGTTAATACCTCTGCTTCCACAGGATTTAAAAAATAGGAGTTCTAATTTTCAAACTAGGATTGTCCCAGAATTTATAAGAACAATACTAACAAATATGCTTTCATTTCTACATGTTTAGGGTAAGTATGTTTCGAATCATCTAATGTAGGAAATGCAATAAAGCTATGTATTGCTAATTATAGATCCAGACTCCAAGATTTGGAATGCAAGGGGCTATATGGAATACAACCTTTAGGAATATAGTTTGGACTGTTTCAAGAGAAGGAAGTGCAAGATCCTGACTGGGCATCACCATGTAGTTATAAACAAGCCTCGCTGAGGTACAGCTTCAGCCTGCTGGGATATGCTGGCTTCTCTGGTGAGGTAAAAAGATTAAATTGCAACCAGTTTTTTTTAAAAAAAATATACCACTTAAATGTAATTCTTTTACTTGGAAAGCATTGCAACCTTATAAATGGAGTTTAATGTGATGGTTATATGACAACTTTTAAACTCTTCACAAGACACAGTTTGTATCAAACAAGTTAGGGTTTTTTTTACATTTATAAAGCTCCTTTTTTGCATTTGCAACCAGAAAGCTCAAATGACCAGTTTATCAAAAATTGATTTATTGTGAGTCCCAAAGGCCAAAACCCCATTTAGAGCCACACTGGTTTAATATTTTATGAGAGAGTATTGCCAAATTGTTTTCCACATTCTCTTTATTGTTAAATCTATAAATTATGGTATGGAGAAATGAATAGTGCTTATTTCCCTATTTTTTTTAATTGGAAACAATATTTTAAGAAGCCATCACAGCTTTCTAAGGATTGGTCATAAGAGCACTTTGTAGCAAGTATCCTTTTCAAGCAGAATACATTTCAAATGTAAAACACCTAGATGCTGAATTGTGTGTGAATGCACTAGAATTCTAATTAGTTTTGCTAATAACAGGGGCATTATTTTTGATAAACTGTAATCTCAGCTCATGTGAACAAGTTTGAAAAAGTAACAGATCTAGATCTCTTCCAAATTGTTTGGAAAAGATTTAGTCAGACAGCCCCATTATGGTTTACTGATGAACAACAATGTCCTGGTGCACACTACTTAAAATATAGGTTTGCTTCATCTGCAAGTAGGCAACATTAATAATAAATTATAGGTAGCTCTATCAGTGGATTATTCAGCATATCTAAATCATGCCCTCTGCTTTATTCCTCTCAGGAAGAAAGCCAAAGGAAAAAAATGCAAATATACTGCATTTTATTTGAGACATTTGTTCCACAAAAATTCCAAACTTTTCTTTGGACAAAAAAGCTTACAAAATAGGTAACTACCACAAAACACAACAGTCTGCTCTTTTTTCTTATTTTGTATGTCATGCAATGCAATGCAAAATTAGTGATACTAATTTCTAATTAGTTCAATTATGGATTATTGGGGATTTTCTTCTTTTTATATAATTGCCACTTCCTCTCTTAGAATGGGAGGGAATATTTAAAGGTGCTTACCCAAATCAAGATCACAGAAATCTCTACAGGTATGAAGGACTTTGAAAGGTTTACCGCCTACCTAAGGGTATGGGCTCCTTACCTTGTTCACTGATCAATGTTTACATATTCCCCTTTGTGCCCTTTTGATATTAGGAACTTCTAATAATTTATGGAGGTAGGAAAGATAATTTAAGCCTGAAATTAACTGCATTTTAAATTTGATCAAAAAGAACATTTATGTTGCCCCAATAACAAAGGTTATTATGACCAACAAATGAACATCACTGGATTTATAGCTGAAACTGCTGAATATGCTGAAATGTCTTAATTAAACTGTTAGAAACAAAATCCAGTATTCACAAACTATGGCATTTTATTTCAGAGGCCTTTGCTTACATTTGTACAATATATTACATAATTCCATTGTCTGCAGAACCTAATATATATTTTATAGCTTTTCTTTATATGCCTTTCCTTCAATGTTTGTCAACAATTTTTACAGTCCTGTACATATCTGAAGAGTTTGAAACCATTTTCAATAAAATCAGTTACCTTTAAACACACACTACTAAGACTGAAAATGCTTTTCTTAGAAAAGTCAAATGTAAAGATTCGGACACTCTAGCATCTACAAACAGAATGTTTGAAATTCTTACATGTTGTATTGCCAGAAAAAGAAAAAAGAAAAAAACATGCCAGCCCCCATAAGCCCAGCCAAAAGAAGTACACAGAACTACAATTAAAACAGTAAAACAATCTGTACAGTAAAGTACTGTGTATTAACAGTGCCAGGTATTAAATAGCTCGAATGAACACTCCCGCAATATACAAATGTCTTACAAAGTTGTGTAATTAAATACAAGTGCCAAACGAGAGGGCATGGGTTCCATACAACATAAAGTCAATAGAAGTGAAAACAGCTGAGTTGATTTTGGATTTTATACAAGGTAATTAAAAAAAAAATCATTTCAACCACTCTGTTAGCTATTTATATTATAAACAACTATCCTTTTGTGGCAATGTTCTTCTCAACAATGACTTAATATTAACACCCTTTACTCCTTCTTGAAGACCTCTCAATTGCAGCTCATAATAAAATAAGCATTACTAATGAAATATTGTTTGCTTTAACTGAAAAGAAACTTTTACAAGAAAACACAAAAATATAAGTGTTATAATTCATTATGAATAAATATACACTTTAAACTGGCTAAATACAATCTTTGTACATTAAGATTTAATACAGTTTGTTAGCCGTTTTCTTCCTTTTTCACAATTTATCAAAATTAAAAAAAATACTGATTCGTAGAAAAATGGCGAAGTACAGTAGTTTCATTCCAATTCATGGGCTATCAAAAACCCACGATAACCTATTTTGCCTAATTCAAACCTGTAAACATTAGTCAGCCTTTTAAACAGAATCCTTATATTTGGTTGTCAATCTGATGAAAAACATCCTGTTAACGGCAGGTTTGGAACTGAATTACCTGTGCTTGACTTGTACAGTTATAGTCACCATTAAGGCAACAGTTAAAAAACAATTATCTTGTAAAAATGAAAATAGGCTCATTTTTCCTAAAGAATGGAAAAATATCAAATGTTCCAGCTTTAACAAAATACCAGGGAATACGTGAACAGTAAGCCACTTTAATGTTTTAATTTGGCCTACCCAACAACTGCACGCTTACCACATTGATTCTACTGGCAGTGAACAACTTCCATTTGCCACAGTGGAAGGCCTTCAATTCATTCAACATACAATTCCCAGACAAGTTGGAAACAATTATTGCTTGAGGAAAAGCAGTCTTTTGTACTTTTTCTTCATAAAAGTGCACTTAAGTGCAAAGTTAGCTTGTCAAGATTTTTTTTAAATACAAAATAGTGCTTGTCTGAATTTTGTGCCACTGTGCAGTATAAAAAGTGGCTCTCAGCAGCCATTAAGTGCAAAGTGCTTCGGCAAGTCTTGCTGTCACCTGCACTCGACTGACATTCCATTCTGTGATGAATTGGACACGGGTGGATCTGCTAAACTTAACATAACTGCTGCCGTAATGGTACTGGAGGAAGGCGAGGAAGAAGAGGAGGATGTGGTAGCAGCACCTGCAATGAGAGTAGTAAACAAATCAATTGACCCATCTGAATGTCAGCTACTGTGAATTATTGTAAATTGTAATAGGCATTTTATTAAGTGAGTTTTGCCTCATTTTACGACCATTCTTGCCACAGGGGTTAAGTGAATCATTGCCGTTGATAAGATAGTAACATAGTTGTTAAGTGAATCTGGCTTTCCCATTGACTTTGGTGGTCAGAAGGTTGCAAAAGGGGATCATGTAACCTTGGGATATAGCAATGGTCGTAAGTATGAGTCAGTTACCAAGCATATAAATTTTGATCACATGATCATGAGGATGCTACAGAGACGTGAAAAACGGCCATAAGTCACTTTTTTCAGTGCCATTGTTAATTTGAATAGTCACTAAATGAACTGTTGTAAGTTGAGGACTAGCTGTAGTTATGCACAATTATGGAAACTCTTATTCTGAAGTAAGTTAAGAAAAGGGAAGGCTATTCCCTTAATAAGGTTAACTATCCCTATTTTTTATAGTGGATCTCTGAGAAATCTTGTAGTGTTACATTCTGCTTATTTAAAAGTAAGAAAAAACATGTGGGATGACCAAGTTGCTTATTTTATATTTTTGAAGAAATCCTGATAATTTAGCACTCCTTTATAAGTGCACTTCCAACTTATAAGCAGTAAATCAGACAAGACTTAACTTCTATAAAAAGCAATTATCAGAGTACTTTTTCTGAATTTAAAACTGCAGCATCAGGCAGATCCTTTATTCAAACAATGCCCAAATCCATACAAACTGCCCCTAAGGCATGTCATACAAGGCATGTATGTTTTCAGTTGCTTTTAGAATTGAATATTCCTCAAATGCCTGTGTTCATTGTTATCAGTCAATATGTAAAATAATGTTAAATACAGAGTTGGGAATACACAGAAAGAAATTGGCTCAGTTCTAAAGAAACGGCATTCTAAAGAAACGGCACTTAGATCAAATAGTTAAGGTCATCTGTGTTATTACTACAGAAAGTGTAACTTTTTCTTACACATGCCAGAAGTAATTATCAGAAATATAAGAATAAATACTAGAATGTGACAGTTCGTTGATATTATGAAAATTGGTTGCTGATATTTAGATAGTTAAAATATTAGTCTGAATCCTGCCTGTAGTAGCTCCATTTTTAAAAAATCTATGCATGAGGCAAAAAGTTGGCTAGTTTTTCCCACTAATCCCTCCATAAATGTATGTTGTTGACTAAATAATTGTAATGAAATAACTCTCTTTCTTCCAAACTTGTTTGCATCCCCCCTGCCCACCAATACTAACAAGGTTAAAACTTAAGTCCACTTGTGGACCTTTGTTTCACTGTGGACCTTTCTCTTATTGTGTCTCTCCCTAGGAGAATTTTTAAAAATCCATCTGTATTTGCAGATTTTAAGCTTGGAAATAATAGGTGAGATAAAAGAGAGGTATTGATCCTTATTCTAGACTCTAGAACAGTGGTCCCCAACCCCCGGTCCGCGGACCGGTGCCGGGCCGTGGAGTACCTGGCACCGGGCCGCGGAAGCCGGGTGTTCGCTGTCCCAGGCGGCCCCGCTGCGGGGAAACGGAAGCCCCGAGAACAAAACAGGCGTCAACGCAGAGAACGGGAGCCTCGCAGAAACAGCCCTTCGGGCGCTTCCTCTGCAGCCGGAAGCTTCAGCGGCCAAGGCGGCTCCGCTTGAAGAGGCTCTTCGAAGCTTTTTCCGGCACCCAGAGGAGGGCTAACCCGCCCTCCCTAGCCAGGGCTCCGGCTTCGCCACATGCGATGCTCGGCATGGCCTGCGAACCCCGGCAGCTCCGCTTTCCGGCTGCAGCGGGAGCGCCCGCTGGGGTGGTTC